ACACACACACACACACACACTCGGTTGTATCCACATACCACAGTTGACTGGTTCTGCTGAGTCAGGCCTTTTTTTTTCCTGCCTCTCCTTTCTGCTCATCTCAACTGTAGCAGCTCAGGAATGTTAAAAGTGAAACATGACAGTTGCACATTCCTCTTTGCCATTTTCACTCATGCATTTGTCCACATGAGTGTGTGTGTGTTTGGGTTTACACATGTGTTTGTGTGCGTGTATCTGTGTGTTGGGGTGATACGGTTTCACGGAGCTGGATTCTCAGGAGACACATGGCTTTTGTAGTGGTCTCAAGAGACACTACAAATAAAGTGAGTGGAAGTTAGAGTGTACTCCAGCAGAGCCAACTTATAGGCTGTGTGATCTCGTGCCCATTTGCTGTCCTCAGACAGCAGCTCATATTCCCCTGACTCATGGGAGGTGTTGGGCTTTTGTCAACGTATCCGGAGCATAAAACTAAAAATTCAGAACCCCTTCAGCGATGATATGTGCACTAGTATCTGCTGCTTTTTGACAGCATTTTATATATTTACCTTTATCTCTTCTGGCTAGCTTTTGTGTTTTTATTATTTTGCTGTCCAAAAGTGGATTTGGACTTTTGACTCTTGTTTTTTTTTATTTTATTTTATGTCCTCTCTCAATATATGTTGTTCAGCCCATAAATCAGATCCCCATTGCTCACCGCCTCCTGTAGCACCGTGTGATGGATGTACCCTATTGAATTGGTTTTCTGTCCCTCCCAAAATGGCTTAATAGCTCTGACCTTGGAAGAGGTCTCTGCTCTCGATGCTAAATAATTCAACAGTACAGAGTGACTGTCTGAATTGCTCTTTTCTTTCTGCCTCGCAAAGACATCACCAAACTCTCTCTACCTGACCCACCGCTCGGGAAGAGCCGCAGTGTGTTAGGCTGATCAATTTTGCATGGTTCCTTTTGGAGTGAAGCACTCCTAGCCATTTAATCTGAGACAGCACAGGCGGCAAGGTGCGAGCAGCGGAACATCTTATGGAGGCAGGAGAGGCAAACGAGGACAGAACAACAGGCCACAAGGTCATATGCCTGCGTGGAGCCCGAGTTGTCTGAAACTATGAATAGCTGCAGGGAAAAAAGTACGGGGCTTAGTCATGGGTTTGTGACTTGTACAATGTCGACAGTGTAAAAAATACTCACACATCTATGAATTCTTGCCCAGAGGACACGGCTCGAAGCGTCACGGTCACAAGGTTGTGAATAATAAAAACCGTAGAACGAGAATGTCTGTTTTTCTTCTCTAAAAGTCCCTGTTTTACCCCTTTCAGGCTACGCCTTCCTGCTGTTCCAGGAAGAGACCTCCGTTCAGGCCCTGATCGACGCCTGCATCGAGGAGGACGGCAAGCTTTACCTGTGTGTATCCAGTCCCACCATCAAAGACAAACCGGTGAGTAGCAGCATTCATGTGGTTCTGTTCAGTTCATTTTTATTTATGTGGTGTATAAGTCATGTCAGGGTGCTTCACAAAGTAAGGTCAGACTATAAAATATTTTATTATAGAGAGAAACCCAACAAATTCAACAATCCCCTTTGAGCAAGCAATAAAGTACAATCCAACCGAAACTGGGAATAAGAACACAGTTGTTCATAGATAAGAAACTGTACCAATAGTCGACAGCCGTGCTGGTGGTTACAGACTCTCCACCTACTTGTATGATTTTAACTGTTTTCTTTCTTAAATTTTCTACAAATACCCTGATAGCATCATCTTGAATTCAGTTGGCCGACATCATCTTATAATGAAAGTCAGCCGTAATTCAGTCATAAACCAAAGCACTGGACAAACTAATCATTTTGACCCAGAGAATAAATCCTTTGGGGACAGTGAATATGTGACCAAATGTCACAGCAGTTTATGAGATATCTCAATTTAAAAAAAAAACTTTCATTTCCATGTCTACAAAGAAGCAGCAGCATGTTCTGCACATTAGCAAAGCAACAGGAACACCGGTGCTCCATGTGTCTTAACACATATGTACACAGTCACTTTAGTTGCATACTTTGAACCCAGAAAACTAAACTTGAACAACACTTCTGTTTTTGCTCCCATTTTTCATGAACTGAACTCAAAGATCTGAAGCTTTTTCTATGCACACAAAAGGCCTATTTCTCTCAAATATTGTTCACAAATGTGTCTAAATCTGTTAGTGAGCACTTCTCCATCCACCTCACAGGTGTGGCAAATCAAGATGCTGATTGGACAGCAGGATTATTGCACAGGTGTGCCTTAGGCTGGCCACAATAGAAAGCCACTCTAAAATGCGCAGTTTTATCACACAGCACGATATCAACGATGTCACAAGTTTTGAGGGAGCGTGCAGTTGGCATGCTGACTGCAGACCAGAGCTGCTGCCCATGAATTGAATGTTCGTTTCTCTACCATAAGCCGTCTCCAAAGGCGTTTCAGAGAATTTGGCAGTACATCTAACCAGCCTCACAGACGCAGACCACATGTAACCACACCAGCCCAGGACCTCCACATCCAGCATCTTCACCTCCAAGGTCGTCTGAGACCAGCCAACCAGACAGCTGCTGCAAGAATGGGTTTGCATAACCAAAGAATTTCTGCACAAACTGTCAGAAACCGTCTCAGGGAAGCTCATCTGCCTGCTCGTCGTCCTCATCGGGGTCTCGACCTGACTGCAGTTCGTCGTCGTAACCGACTTGAGCGGGCAAATGCTCACATTCAGTGGTGTCTGGTACTTTGGGAGGTGTTCTCTTCATGGCTGAATCACAGTTTTTACAGACGGCAGACGGCAGACAACGGTTTACTGATGTCAACGTTGTGAATCGAGTGGCCCATGGTGGCGGTGGGGTTATGGACAACGAACAGAGGTGCATGTTATTGATGGCATTTTGAATGCACAGAGATGCCGTGACGAGATCCTGAGGCCCATTGTTGTGCCATTCATCCACGACCATCACATGTTGCAGCGTGATAATGCACGGCCCCATGGTGCAAGGATCTGTACACGATTCCTGGAAGCTGAAGACATCCCAGTTCTTGCGTGGCCAGCATACTCACCGGACATGTCACCCACTGAGCATGTTTGGGATGCTCTGGATACGATGGCGTTTTCCAGTTCCTGCCAATATCCAGCAACTTGGCCCAGTCATCGAAGAGGAGTGGAGCAACACAGGCCACAATCAACAACCTGATCAACTGTATGCAAAGGAGAAGTGCTCACTAACACAGATTTAGACACATTTGTGAACAATATTTGAGAGAAATAGACCTTTTGTGTCCATAGAAAAAGTCTTCAATCTTGGAGTTCAGTTCATGAAAAATGGGAGCAAGAACAAAAGTGTTGCGTTTGTATTTCTGTTCAGTGTATGTAGCACATGTAAGAAATAAACCGTTGCGCTGAAGACAACTGGATCGATTAAAACAGGAGCGCATCTGTTCCGTGGACGTATTAAAGCAATCTGGATACCAGACACAAAGATAGCAACCTCTCACTTGAATGAGAATTGCTCGCCTGGAAAATGAGCCAAAAAAGTTTTCTAGCTTCCAGGTTTGCTCCAGTGTTACATGGCTCACTGCACATGCTCATTAGTGTTTCCCCCGCAGTTCCTGCCCGCTTGGCCTCCAGACTTTACATTGGGATGACGACACAAGTAAAAGGCTCTCAGTTTTACAAATATAAACCTTCCGTGTATTAATAATTCATTAAAAACTAGTAAAGACCAACCTTGTTTGTAGTTTTAGGTGTTCTAACTGATGTCTCTTATGAAGGTGGCCTGTGGGGAAAATGCTTTGTGGGCCACAGCAGATTTTTTTTTGTTGCAGTACCACGAGGGACTTCTGGAGAAAAAATAGCAGCAAGGCTGAGTGCAGCGCCGTATCCAGCTGTCTTATACGTCTATGATCTGCTACGTCAGACACATGAGAAGTAGACAACTCAAAAATGTAGCTGAGACGTCTTTTGTGTAGAAACCCAGACATGGTGGTACAACAAAAAACTGTAGGGGATCACCAGACCTGTAGGGATGTGTGTTCTGGGCTCCAATAATGTCTCTACAAGGTTTCACTCCATCTAATAATTGTTGTGATGTTTCAGTCTGGACTAAAAGAAAACCTTCTAAATGACCACATTGTTTATTTCTCACATACGCAGGTCCAGATCCGTCCCTGGAACCTGAGTGACAGTGACTTTGTCATGGACGGCTCCCAGCCTCTGGACCCCCGCAAGACCATCTTTGTTGGGGGGGTGCCGCGGCCCCTGCGTGCAGGTAACTGACTCATATGAATGAGATATCTTTTTTTTTTTTTTTCCAAGCCCCCAAAGCCTCTAAATTGGCTTCATAACATTGGCTGGCATGGAGCGCAGAAGCCGGAGGCAATAATGAAAGTTCTCCCTGTGAGAAAGCAATCCTCTGCTTGGGTTTCCAGGAAGTGGGCCAAGTGGTCATCATGTTAAGAATTCATGGTGTAATGGAAGGCTCAGTCTTTCTGTTCTTGGGATAAACATTGCTGGCTTGTCTGCAATGTGACCCCTACTAATTATACCAGCAGTTTGAGACTGCTGCGCTGATGAATAGTGGAGGAGGCTGGATTTTTACATCAGTTAATAACAGCGTCACTCACAACAGTAAAACCTTTAGGATTTTTAAGTGGAACTGAAGGCTTTCAATTTGAGAACAAAGCCAGAGCAAAACAGTCTTTAGCTCAGACTAAAACTCTGCACAGAACTGTGTGCAGCACTAATCATCTCTCTCCCTCATGCTTTCTTCCCCTCTCTCTCTCTCTCTCTCTCTGCAGTGGAGCTGGCTATGATCATGGACCGGCTGTACGGAGGTGTTTGCTACGCTGGCATCGACACCGACCCGGAGCTCAAATATCCAAAGGGAGCCGGCCGCGTGGCCTTCTCCAATCAGCAGAGCTACATCGCTGCCATCAGCGCTCGCTTCGTTCAGCTACAGCACAATGACATCGACAAAAGGGTGAGCGAGTTCATGAGCTTCATTCACAGTCTCCCTCCTCTGGAAGAAAGCAGCGTCTCAACCACAAGTGAGGTTTTCGCAGTCATGTCAGCTGGAGTCCTCTCCCATGTATCAGAGCTTTCATTATAGTTGGGTTTTCAGCCAACTGCTCAGCACAGCCTACAATAACGGAAGGCCATGCCTGGCTGTGTAATCACTATGGCCTTTGGCTGCCGGAGTCCCGACAGATGTTTCAAGTTGCAGACACATAGGGTTGGGTTAATTATAGTAGTTCCCTATACATGTATATCCACTCGGGCTGTGCTGCAGCCTGGTTATTTTAAGCACGCCGGCCAATTGCAGCACGACAGATCGTGACCAAGAGAGACTGGTAGTCAGCCAGGAAGCCGAGCCTCTGCAGGGCGGGGCGCTCCACCCCACCTCAGCTATCACCATCTATCTTCAGTGGGGGTTGCGAGTGGCTTTATTATGACTGGAGCTGGATGGCACGCAGAATAATGCTCAGAAACAACACAACACTGAGGAAAACATCAAAGGGAGCGAATAAAGGCATCACTTTAAACTGGGACACAAGAGAAACATGTATTTTTTTCACTCTTTAGGCGAGTTAATTGGGAAGGAGCCCTCATTCTGTGCTGTGTTTGGATATTTTATTGCTGCCTTCACGTGGTCAGCGACAGACAGGACTTCTGCTGCCAGAGTTAACACTTGTAAAGAATCTTTGTTCGTTGCAAACCGCAGAAAGTGGGGCACAAGTGGAGTGCATTCTTGAGATTCGTGGGATCAGTGTGGTATTGGCGAGGATGCCAGTTGTCGCCACTTTCTGTTTTTCCTCTTCTCTCGCCTTCAGCGTGCACAATTCCATTAACTGTAAATGGATCTTGATGATAGGACGTAGAAGCTAATTATCCGTGGTCAGCTGCGTGTCCGCCGAGCTGATTGGTATTTAATAGCGTGGCAGCGCGGCCGTTCGCGTCTGGCTTTCTCCTCGTTTGTCTCGTGCGAGCTTGTTGCTCTCAGCAGTGCATTGTCGTCGCCGAGTTCAGCCGAGGAGGACGCTCTCCCGCTGTTGAAGGATTTGATAACCTTTCATTTTGTGGCCACGCTATAACAAGGTTAGCATCCACCCCTGCCTGCTCATACGCTGAGGCGTCTCCATGGCGACTGAGCTCCCGGTTCTTGTCTCCTGGCTTAGTGGTCAAACTCATTTCGCTGCTGGACGGGAGGATACCTGCCTCGATCTGGATGGCTTTAGTTTAGAGAGCGGCGCAGATTTCAGCCTGCGTGGGGTATGATGGTGGACGATGTTTAAAGGAAACATCTGGATGAACCCAGCTGTTACTTGTACAGGTTTTGTAGTGTGTTGACCTGATACAAAAGAGTAGCTCCAAAGTGGATGAGAAGACGATACCAGTCACATAATACAGCGTTTTAAGATGTTTGTCTGGATCCAGTGAGCAGCCCAGTTGTGCAGGAGTCGTCTCACCCGACTGACATTTCACTTAAAACACCTTTTAAGAGTGAATATGAGGTTTATGGATCTAATGAGGATTTCATGTGTGTGTGTGTGTGTGGGTGTGTGTGTGTGTGTGGATGGGCAGCACATGTGACCAGTTTATGTTACCCTTTAAATCCGGTGTACGCAGCATTTTTTTTTAACATAGTTGGGGATAAATTCTTTACTGACCTTTTAGAATGTTGTAATTCCAGCAGTCTGGGAGGAAACTAGAGTTGTGCGCCTCCTCCTGGCTTCATGTTCAGGCGTTAGGAACCCACAGTGGAGGATGCTGGCCAATCACAGGTCTTTTCACCTAAACAGCAGCGCGGTCGGTAGGATGTGGTGCAGTCATGTGTCAGATGGAGGACTTTCAGCGAGGTGAGCGCGGGTCGAATCCAGCTACAGCCATGGATTCATGTCGCCTTTCAGCTCAACTGTCTTTGTGTGGCTGAAGTGCGTACTTGACTGCTGGTGTGAGGGACTTTTTCTTTTCTGCCGACTGCAGCTTTAATCCTGCATACAGGCCAACATTTCAGCCAGCAGCAGCTGAGCGAGCCGAGCACAGGCGTAGAAAAGTGCCCATTTAGGGCGCAATCCACATTCATCAGGGCTGACTGTGCTGCACTTGAACATGCCTGCTGAGCCGTGGCCCAGAATAAACCAACCTGCCCCCTCCTGTTCTCTTTCTTCCCAGGTGGAGGTGAAGCCGTACGTCCTGGATGACCAGATGTGCGATGAGTGCCAGGGGGCACGCTGTGGGGGGAAGTTTGCCCCCTTCTTCTGTGCCAACGTCACCTGCCTGCAGTACTACTGCGAGTACTGCTGGGCCAGCATCCACTCACGAGCCGGCCGAGAGTTTCACAAGCCACTGGTGAAGGAGGGGGGCGACCGCCCTCGACACGTGTCCTTCCGCTGGAGCTGAGGGGGGTCTGGAGTCGGCCCTGCCCCGGCGAACCCACACCCGGCCCCTGAAAGCCTCCTGCAGCCCGGGACAGCGCTGCGACCCCCACCCCCTCCTCCCACCGCCCCACCTGCTCCACCCTGTTCCCCACAAACACCTCATGAAAAAAGCAAAAAGGATCCCATCAGATAAACGAGACTTCCTTCATCCCACGTGGCTCTGAACTCATTGTCTAGTGCTCCCCTCTGATGAAGCTTTGTGGGGAAACGAAAAGTCCATCAGCTTAGAATTTGCACTTTGGCACTAAATCTCACTAAACACACACACACGGGACGGTTTGTCCGACACCTGGCTACTGTCAGTTCCCTGTTCTGTTGACTGGCTGGTGTGGTACGTCCTGCTGGACCCCCCCGCGCTGACACAGAGGTGGGATCTTACAAATATTTAAAAAAAAGTATATATTTTTTGTTTTGTACCTATCTATACATATATAGATAATTTAAATTTTATGTAAAAGGAGCATGCACTTATTTTCAAAAGCTGTAGTTATATTGCCCCTAGTAAAAAAAAAATAATTTACCAAAGGCAAATTAAATTCATGCATACAGAAAAGCAAAATAGGAGGCATAAGATGTAGCAAGATTTACCAACTATCCAGTAGTGCGGGCCCGTATCGCCCACCGTAAAGATAACACGGCTATATTCGCTCTCAATTCTGACTCTGAAAATATTAATACCTCATATGCGCAATCAGATTAGTTTGCTTTCGATTTCTAGGTCTTTATTTTTATAATAACATTATTTTTTAGTGTTATGTAAATGTAATGCTGCAATAGCTTTGCTGCTAAATCCATGGTATAAACACATACCATACGTACTTTATTCAGGCTAGGGTGTAAAAATAAATCGACGACAGAGAAGCGCCCGGTGTTTGACGAACGACGAGCCGTCGCAGGGGGACGGGGGGGCGCCCCGAGGTCCACGACGGCCAGCTCCGTGGGGGGTCGGGGTGGGTCGCCCCCTTAACTGCATGTTTATTTCAATCAGGTTGCTGCATGCAATAGACTTTTCAATATCATGTCTACTATTGGATTCTGCCCATGTTTGCACAACACACTTATAGACGTACGTTTGACTCGCACGAAACTGGACAGAAACAGGGAAGACTGGTCACACGGCTCCTCCTCGTCGCTGGGAGGGGGAAAAAAAAAAAGCAGAAAAAAGAAAAGAAACGTAATAATCACAAATCAAATTAAATGTAGGATTACCATTTAAAACTGTCTATGATAGGTGAAGTACTTTTTTGCAGTGATTGTTGATATAATTGTGCAATTTTTTATACCGTATGTAGTTAGGTCTGAGTATGCCTAGAACTGTGATTCGCTTTAACTGTCGTCAATGTCCGACATAGAAGTCCTGTGAAACTTCATAACTAGTGTATGCACACGTATATATGTTTCTCTTGTACACACACACACACACACACTTGCACCAGTATATACACACACACAGAAGCCTCTCGACACACACACACATGAACACACACTCGGACGGCTGTCTTTCTTACGCACACAAACAGGCCTACAAACAGCGAGTCTGATCCGAGGAGAAGACGCAACAATGTGAGCTTAAACTGAGAACTGAGGTCTTTTATTATTATGATTATGATTATTAATTATTACTATTATTATTATTATTTGTTCCACCGTTGACTAAAAACGCACGTTTACGTCCCAGAATGCAACCAAAGAGCTCACGTGTTCGACTTTTAGCGGAGCGGCTAACAGGCGGAGGAGCTGACGGTACGGCGGCGGTGCGTCGCTTAGAGGAGGAAAGAGGGCAGTTTGGCGAAGAGGAAGTTTTTTTTTTTTGTTTTTTGTTTTTCGGGGGGGCTGTAAAAAAAAAAAAAAAAGAGACATTGAAGCTACTGGAGACTTGAGGTTGATAAACTGAGCCCTGCACATGCTCTCACTATAAGCGGGTGGGGAGGGTCGGGGAGGCGGGAACGACGACGCCAGAACGACGCGAGCTTGGGGTTACCACATTTATCCAGATTTGTTTTTTTTTTTTCCTGCAAAGCTTGAAGTAATGAACCTGCTAAAAGAAAACAAAATGGTGGAAATCTATATATATATATCTATATTTTTTGTTTTTATCAAAAGATTATGGTGCGCAGTTTAAACAGGAGTGGGTGGGGTGGGGGTGGGTTGGGGTTATGGATGCAATTCATTAAGTATTGGCTGCTGAGGACAGGGCGGCTCTGGTTCTGGAGGGTCGGGATGGGTCGGCGGGGGGGCCAAGTTACACTGGTTATAGCAGTTTTGCGCACGATCCCAACCGGATCCGGCATCACTGCAAGTTAATGTGTGTCGCCCCCTCCCCCACTTTTATTTTTTTAATTTTTAATTTTTTTTTCCTTTCCGTGAGTTGTGATTGTCCTGTGCTGGCGCCCCGCAGTCCCTCTCCTCTTTCTTGTTTTAGTCGTAAACTGTTTTTTTTTTTTTTTCCCCCCTTTTCCTTTGTTTTCTTGTCCGACAAAAGCTAATTGAAACTAAGCAGAAGATACTTTTTTACTGATAAAAACAACAACAACAACAACAACAAAGGCTAACCATGAGTAATAATAAGCATCCCTATGAAAGTGAATTCTGGGTGTTTTTTGTGACATTTCTTTCCCCACCCGGACAGGTTTTCTATGTTTGTTCCTTCTCTATGATAGATATTTGTTATGCACTACTCTTTGTATCTGAACAGTTTTCAACAGTCAGCAGTTCTTTTTGTTAAAAGACGAAGAAAAAAAAAAAAAAGACAAAAAAAAAGACAACGATAAAGCGTGCTTTCTGACTGACAAGATCTTTTGCAATACCTCAATTTTGAAATATATTAGGAGAGAAACAGATATTTTCTAAGTAAGTTTATTCAGATGAAAAAAATATATATTAATTTAATTCTTCAAGAGAAATGATTTAACAGATGGTTGATTTTTTTTTAAATTTTTGTCATGCTTTTTTTTTTGTTTTTTTGTTTTTTGTTTTTTGCTCTTATTTTAAGAATTTATTTTTTTGGAAAAAGACAACAACTGAAGGAGCTTTATAACTAATATAACCACGTAGTTAGCGAGTCTACTTTATCGCAGTGGAAGCGAGGCGCGAGTGTCCCACTGGTCAAATTGGTCGAAACATCCGTGACGAGAAGAGCTCTTTAGGAAAAAAGAAAAAAAAATCAGACATCAGGTGCTCAGAGAGTTTAAACGAAAACCTATTTCCCACCTTTTTGTATATTTATAATCAATCATTTACTATGCTGACCAGAGTTGTGAAAGAGATCTTCTGTTCGTTATTTTTTTAAGAGAAGTTTTTTATGTTTCCTAAAAGTATGTGCTCCCTTTTGTTTTGTACAAAAAAAAAGAGAAAAAAAAGCAACTGATTGGTTAGCCTGACGCCGTTGGGAGTGTAAAAAATAATAAAGCGAGAGTCACTGGACAGCTGGAGGTAGAAAGAAAAGAATGTTATTTTTAACACAAAACAGACACAAGTGTTTTCACCTGTAACTTGACCGAAAGCCCCCAAGGTGCATCAATTGACTGGTGGCCTTTCTATTCACGCAAGACTTGAATTAGTCCCATTTTTTTAAAGGCTAAGAACCTTGATTCTTTGTTGTAATGTGCAATACTGTTTGTACTGTTTGTAGAAAAGAAGAAAACAAGAAAAAAGAGGCATAAATCTTTATTGCAGAATTATTTTCATTGCAAGCATTGTGATTCACTAAAAATCATTTTCTACTGTGTATTTACCTACTCTACCTGCTAGTACCTTCCAGTAGTAATGTAGCCTTTGTACTGAGAAATTTTCATTATTTTTTAGAAAGTTTTGCTAAAAAAGAAAAGAATTTAAACATATTTACATTTTTATTTCTTTATTTTTTTTTTCTTTTACAGACTTATTTCTCAACCATTAATAGTTATTTCTGGGGGAGACTTTCATATCTGGTCAATGTCATTAATATTATTTTGTATTTTTACTTGGAATAAATTAATTTTATGATGCTAATTCTTTAAAAAGTTTATTTTTTTTTGTTTGTTCACTTTTTTCATTTTTTTTTTTTGAAGCTGAGAAAAAAAACGACAACAACAACAACCTTTGTAATATTGTTACTAAAGTGTCTCGTTTCTTGAATTGCTAAAGCTTTATGTGTTAACTCGCTGATGTTGCTTACATTAGTGTGAAAATGATCTACGAAGAAAAAAAAAAGAAGAAAAAAAAACTACTCACAAAGAAACAGATTGGTGGTTGGTGATGTTTAAAGTGATTCGCAATGTATACAAATGAATGGGCAATAAAATAAAAATGGCAGAATGGAGCATACATGCAGTACGTTGTGATGTAATTGCGGAAGATGGACGACAGCGCTAACTGTTCTTGCACTGCTTCTGCTACTCCGACGCTACTGTATCCACTAACGCTACAATAACCGATCCTCACTTCCCTCGACAGCCTCGCCAACAGAAAACAGCCTCTCGGAAACCTGGTCTTTCTAAGTCGGTTCAGTCCCTGCAGAGCACACCGGAGTGATTGTATTTAAGTATGAATGTAAATGTAGAAATGCACTGTGTCAAGCAAAGATTGGAACGAGCATGTATGACCTGAAGAATATTAACTATCTATAGTCGGCGATGATCTAAAGAGTTTGTTTTTTTCTTCTTCTGCATTATATGCTGATCAGCCACAGCATTAAAACCGCCTTAATAATAATGTCTAGCTCCCCATGAGTTGGTCCTCATTGATGCCTGGTTGGGATCTGGGGAGTTTGGAGGTTGTGGCAACATCTGGAGCTCTTGGTCGTGTTCCTCAAACCTGACCCTAAACCCTTTTACCATGTGGTGGGGTACGTTGTCAAAGATGCCATGGAGGGTATGCTTGGAACAGCGTTTAGGTGGATGGTATGCATCAAAATAGCATCCATGTAAATACCAGGACCCAAAGCTTCCCTCCCAGCAGAACGTCGCTCTGTGACTAAACAATCGAGGCCTGACAGTGGTGTCAATGTTATGGCTGATCGGTGTGTATATGAATATTTTCCCTCCTAATTTTCTGTCGTACAAAAATAGTTTGACATTCTGAGAAATGATTGGAGATGATTGGCAGCACCGCCATGTCTGCATGCCATCTTAGACTGTTAGCTTAGCCTAGCATTTGCGTTCAGCTGTGGATTCCCTCTGTACAGCTGCAGCTTGGATTTTGTTGCTTTTCGGTTTTTGTATGAATTGAAGAAAGAAAACGTACATTTTGTGAGCTTCAGAGGTGATGATGGGGGACGGTGTAGACAAACCAAACCCAACTTCCCTCCTGCCGTTATGCTAGGCTACGCTAATTTGGTTGTGGTGAGTGTAATGAGAAGCCAGTCATAACATAAAGTTTGGGAACAGGCGGCTAGCTGAGCAAACAACACCAGACCTGCCAGAGCTCAACCAGTTTACACGGATTTCATTAGTTTTTAAAACAAACAAAAAGATGTTTCGGTGTTGGGATATTTTCTGGACTATTTCTTGGACGGGGTGGAGACTTCGTTGTCGTGCTACACATAACCCACAACACCACAATGTGTGGTTTTACACTTTTAATCAGTAGCTGTGTTTCCGTCGCTAAAGCTTTATGGAAACGGAAAAACTAAATCAACCAATTTCGCAAACTAGTTTTTATGTTTGCTGGAGGTGATTTTGAACTTTTTTTTAAAGAGTTGATAAATGGGAGATGGACACCCGTTTTTTTTAAATAAGTTGTGATGACGCGAATGTTGATGCTGATTCCATTTCTTTTGTTGTCTTCGTTCGAAACATGGCCCATGCTAGCTTAAAGAATAATTACAGCTTTCCCAATTAAAACAGCTCTCTATTTTTTATTTAGTGTTTTTTAACTTCCTTTAGCGTTTTGTTTCCGGCTCCTTCTACTCTGTTAGCTACAGCCATGCATGATGTAGCGTACGGCGCCATCTTCTGATGCAGCTTTGTTATTAAAATTTGCATTTTCTTCTTTTTTTTCCCCCATTTTTTGTGCAATATCTCAAAAGTTTGCCTTAAATTTACTCAACAATTATACGGAAACACAGCTAGTGAGCTTCAGAGGTGCAGATTCAGATGTTATTATGCTAAGCTAAGCTAACCGTCTTCAGGCCGCAGTGTATTTATTGCACACAGGTGAGAGTTTTATTAAAACCCGCCTGCACAACTCTCAGCGTTATTTCTCAAAACGCCAAACTACTCGTTCATTCAGGCTTGAATCTCGGGGAGTTTCTGACTCTACTGTGTTCATCCAAAAGGCTCCAGTGCTCATGTGAGAATGTTTTTTCTGGCTGGCCTTTTTCCACCAGTTTATACAGCTGACGCTAACACCGCCTCCCCCCCTCGCGTCTTCAACCAGCTCCACACGGTTCTGTTTCCCAGGGCTCGGTATTATTCACCACCACACCACCAACGACTCATCATCTCCCGACCGTTTCTTTCGGTTTCTCTTTCGCCCAAAACAAAATCGATTTATACCTGAACTATAAGAACAAAAAGTGTATGTATAAATGAAAAGCTGACGATCTGGATGATGGCGACCATTTTCTATATTCCTCTCTATAGATATTCGTATGTACTTCATGTAACTAGACTTGGGTAGTAAACTGTATATTCACTTCTGCTTCATGGGCGTTCTCTGGGTAGGTAAACACTGTAGGTCTCGTCATGTTGTGATCTCAAAATAGATGAAAAAAAAAAAAGACTGGTAATGTGCTTTGTTTTGTTTTTTTTCACGAACATCCCACTACTTCTGAAATGTACTTCTGTTTTCTTACTGTGCTTTTGTTTTCTAGGTTTTTACTTTCCTGACTTGAACACTGGTTCTATCTCGGTGAGGCTTTTCAGATTGTCGACTTGGGCCTTTGGTTGTCTCGACTTTTTTGCAGTATAACTGTGATTTGAAAACATGGAGCTCAATGCTGCTAAATGCTTACTACTGCTTCAGAGTTTGTAGTTCCAAACCTTCAGTTTTCCTTTTTCTGTACTAATAAGCAAATCTTATTAAACGTAGTTGTATGACGCTGTGAAACCTTGTGGTCCTTTGCATGGCATCCTTTTTCCCATCTCTGACCGGTACTAACTCGCATTCTCCTCTTGGCCACTTGCTGTAATGTTAAGAATTTTCCTGAATTGCTTTATTCTGAATTTGTGAAGTTTTAAAAAACCCTCTTGAAGATTTATCTGCAAGAACATTGTCACAAAAATGCTTCAAATATTCAAAAGTTCAAGGTACTTCAAATAGAACAATCAAAGCAAACCTGTCCTTAGAAAATGTAATTATGGCCGTTGTTGGCTTCCGTACTTTTCCAGTTTTTGAGCACTCAGGGATCAGTAGATGAACCAGACTCACCACATGGTCTATTTAGCAGCTTTGTTTAGGGATGATCTGTAACGGACGACTCCCTAAAGTACTCTGAACACCAACAGCTTCATCCGTCTGCATCTTCTTCTATGTTTCCTCTGCAGCAGCTGTGATGAAGCAGTAACAGTTCCCTAAACGTGAACGCTCGTGTTTTACATTCGCTCACATGCAGACGTTCTCCTCAAGCGTACAACCACGCCATCTACTGGCCGCCGCGGTTCAAAAGACAATAAGAGAGATTTGTACTTCAAATGTTTGTCGAATTTATTACAATTCCACGATCATAAACAAAAAAGCAGCAATTACAGAAATATGTACAAGTCTATTATTCTTTTAAAATACTTGTGGCAAAGTGTTCAGGTGCCGGTCTAAGCTTGGCCCCTGATTCAGTCTCTGTAATGCTGCTTCAAGTGCAGTGCTTTCCCTGGTCGCTTCTACACCACATGTGGAAGAGCTGGACGCGACAGAGGATGCCGTCTCTCCGGCCACGGATCGTGTGAACGGACTCTCCCTGGGCGGAGAGGTGGAGCGTCGCAGCGCAGACGACTCCTGAGCTCAGCAGTCACCAGCGGGCTATAAAAAGCCGGAACAGAGCGACGACATCCTGCGGCTTCTTCTTACTCTCACCCAGTTTCCCTTTGTTGTACAAAAACACGTTGGCATCCGTCGGCCAGAGAGGCGCCGACAGGTGTGGCCGGGTGCAGTGATGTTTTTAAGACTTTGTGACGAGGAGTGGTGGTGGTGGTGGTGGTGGGACGAGTGTGAGGGAGGTGCAGCTGTGTGATGGCGTCTGAAGCAGTTAACACTGTATACTCTGGCAATGCAATGTGGGAGGAGGGTAGCGGGCTGGAAAAGTAGCACCTGCTGCTGTAATTATGAAGGATAACTGTAATTATGATACATGGTGTGCTTGAGAGAGCAAAGCGGCATCACAGTGGTGACGCCGCCGTTCACTCCTGTACGTAAACCAACATTGGAGATGTTTGTCGGAGGCGCTTTATTGACACGGTGAAGGCCTGGGAGGTTTGCTCTGGACAAGGAACGAGGGGATGTTTGACCATGAATACTAGAGGAAAAATTGTTTAGAAGAAATCAATTTTCGAGCAATAAAAACTGCTCTCTTGTCTTGGCTGTGTTTTGGTTTTTACTGCGGGACACGTTCTGTAACTGACGGCCGCCGGTGAGTCCTGACAGATATCTTGATGGAGGTGACAGGGGGCAGCAGTTGGGGGGTGTGTTCAGGCTCTGACCAGGTCCTGCTTGGCCAGCAGGTGAGATGAGCGACGGAGGCGGGGTGGGGTTGGACAGTGCTACTGCAGGGAGTGCATGAAGTTATCCAGGTTGTACTCGGTGTCGTACTGCTGCTGGTCCCACAGCTCTCCCAGGCCGTCCAGCACCGACTTCATGGAGGCCTTCCCTGAGGTTGACGGTGACTGCTCGCTTTTGTCGCCCTTATCGTCCTGAAACACATTCACACACAAACAGAAGCTGAGCCAGACATGCATGTTCCACAGCTACTGTGGGTCCTGACTAGACACAGGAATGTGAGCTGACAGGCTTCTGACGGCTGTTTCTGTCTGGTGAGAAAAAAAACAAAAACCAGCACCAACACTTCTGGGGTTCATCTTTGTCCTCAGT